TGCGATGATGGGCTCAAGTATAGCAGGGATTGTGGGGCTGGCGCGGGATCGGGCAGTGTTTCGTTCTGCTGTGCATGGGGTCGCTATGAGTCGGAAACAACTTGACAGCACTTAACAACAACAAATAATAATAATAATTACTGACTGGTTACCAGTTGCTGTTGAGGTGATTCCAACTCATAGCAATGCTATAGGACAGGGTAGAACTTCCCCCATGGGATTTCCAAGGCTATAATCTTTGTTCAAAAACAGACTGCCATATATCTTTCTTCTGAAGAGGTTGATGGGTTACAATCACCAAACATTTCTGTTAGAAGTGAAGCGTTAAATATTATCTCACCAAGTCTTTTTATTTCTTCCTAGTCAGTCAAGAAGGAGTTCTGGTAGCGTAGTGCCTAAGGCACTTGACTGCTCACCAGAAGGCCAGTGGTTCAAATCCATCAGCCACTCCTCGGAAGGAAGGTTGCACAATCTACTTCTGTAGTGATACCGCCTCGGAAACCCAAGGAGAGGTTGCTATGAGTTGGGTCCGACAGGATGGCACACACAACAACAACAAGAACAGTCAGTCAAGAATCTTTATAGAAATGTTAACACTATGATGGAAAAGAAAATAGGGAAGGGGAGGAGAGAAGCAGTAAAACGAGGGCAACAGATACTAAAATAAAACTTACTTCAGGGGAAATTTCTGTTTTTTGGAAAGTCTGAAACAAATTTCCCTTTTTAATTTAGCAAAGGTGGTTTGTATTGTTTGCAGAACTCTTTAATGTGTTGACTGAAAACCATGTTACTGGGATAATTTTTTTATAAAATAGTCAAAAAGTGTCATAAATAAGGAAATTATTTAACAAAATTACCTGGAGTGGACTTTGTACATTTGCAAAAATATCCAAGGACTTCTGGTTTGTTCCCCCACAAAGGCAATAAATTGTTACTAAGCTTGATCTGGTATCTTTGCACATATTAAGGCCACAGTAAATTTGACTTTCAGTAAATGTTGTTTTAATAAAGCTTATTGGAGCTGGCTCTTTAAAACAATGGACTATTTCCAAAGTTGTCTTCAAGGAGAAAAGAAAATGCCCAAGAATATAGTTACTTAGAAATGATGTCAATTTTTGTTTTAGATCAAGATGAATGTGCTATTTATGGTACTTGTAGCCAGACCTGCATAAATACACATGGATCCTATGCGTGCAGTTGTGTGGAGGGCTACATATTACAACCAGACAACATATCTTGCAAGGCTAAAAATGGTAAGTAATGATCTTATGTGTCCTTCTAGAATTTTCTTTATAGTTACTTTTAATTAGGAATGTAGTAGAGTAACATGGGCCTCAAAGACATAGATTTTCCTTCACTTAATTCACTGATCCATGCTTAGAAATCCAGAGCAGTTCTTTCAGTTGACACTGATCGTTAAAAAAAACATCTTCCATTACAGGAAGTTTCTAATTAGCAAGAACCTGTTCAAAAGAAATGGATTAATTGAATTTTCCCTCTCCTAGAATATTACAATAGATTCCTAACTGGTTTCTATGTGCTTTTGCTTTCATCTCCAAAGCTCATGTTCCACATACTAAAGAGATCTACTAAAATATAAAATAGATTATGTTATTATCTTGCTTAATATCTCCAAATGTTTTTCACTCAGTTTGAGAACAAAAGCTGAATTCCTCATAGAAACAGCAAGGGTCTGGTCTCATTGATCTGTCAATCCTCAATTCGACTTCTTTTTCCTTTCATCATAACACACTAGCCACACTGGTTTCCTTGTCTATCTTCAACCACATTGCTTTTGCCATTCCACTTGTTCTATCTGCCAGGATTGTATTTCCCTATAATATTAACATGAGTTGTTCCTGGTCTTAGTTCCCTAGGTCAGGCTGCTATCAAATAAATAAATAAAAAGAAGTAGCTTTAAAGAACAAAATTTTATTGTCTCATTGTTGCAGAGGCTAACATTCCAAATTCAGGGCACTGGTAAAACCATGTTCTCTCTGTCTGCTCTAAGGGGGGGTCCTTCTTTGTCTATTATAGTTTCAAGTAGCCCCAGGTGTTTTTCAGTGTTCCTTGTCTTTTAGATACCGTTCCCAATGTATCTGTCTTCCTCCTCTTGTCTCTGCTGCCCCTTTTAAAAGATATGACTCAGAAGGAAGTAGGCTCCACTCTATTCCAGTATGACCTCATGTTAATTGATAAAATTTTCAAAAAAGACTATCTTTCTTAAAAAGGTCACTTTCACAAATACAAGGGTTAGGACTTCATCAAATCATTTTAGAGGATACAGTTCAAGCCATAACATTGTTGCCTATCATTCAGGTCTCAGATAAAACAGCAACATTCAGAATGACCTTCTCTGACCATTCTCTTTCATGGTGTACACTCCATGCATCACTATCTTATTTCCCAGTTTTATTTATTTAAGCATACCTCTTTCTAACTAACTCAGCTCACAGCTTTATTTTTTTATTTTTATTTTTTTATAGCAATGCCATCTGTAATTAACCCATTTGTGGAAGGAAAAAAGGAAGGAAGGAGGGAAAGGAGTGAATGTGGGAGGAAGGAAGGAAGGAATTACTTTTTTCCCCCAATTAAACCTACTAAAATGAGCACTCCACCATTTAGTGTTTGAATTTAATGTGTCAAAATTGCTTTTCTTTTACCTTTTATTTAAAAACAAAGCCTATAGCTTCCACATTATATTCAGTCTACAGTAAATATTCAGTAAGTATTGTTGACTTACTAATGAAATAGACTTGGGGTGTGCTAATAACAATGAGACAATGCTAATTTTGTATTAGATGAATTAGCTTGGGAAAAATTTAGAGAGATAATATACATGATATTCTATCTGGCTCTATTAACTTCCCCAATATCAGGTTCCATTTCATGCATTTTTAAATTATGATGTATCGGTAAATTAATAAATCCCTTCCCGCTTCATTAGTAGTTAGTAAAGTAGGCATGAGATGGGGTTTTCTTTTCTGAAATCAGATTGAATACAGTGTTGCATTGTTTTAGCAAGATGCTAATCTCATGATAATCTTGTTATAATTTCCAATGATTTCCCTGAGAAAATGTGTTTAATTATTTTAAAATCATAAGTTTATATAAAAATTAAAGGAAGAAATACTCTACTACTTCTTAGTTTACATTTTTCAGTTACTGTCTTGATTTATGAAGCCCTATTTATTTTGGTGGGGGTAATTTTTGAGGAAAAAAAAAGAAGGGTCAGGCTATATATTTCACTTTTCCCCCACAACTGAGATTTCTGATTTAAAATATTGATGAATGAAGGAAGTAGAAGGCTTTTTCTTCGTTGTTTCTATTGATCCACACAACGCTGTGTGGATGCACATAGAGTGAAATTTAATAAACCTTATACAAGAAGGCACTTCCTTTCTTTCTATATAGGGAGGGCATCAGATAATAGCAGAATGCAACCTCAGAGGGATGATACTTGATAATGTAATACTACATCAAGAAGTTTAATGAATTGATAATCGAATGTACAAATCCCTTTACCTCTAGATCATTAGCTTGATTATAATGTTGTCCTACACAGTTTTTAAAATATACAGTTACCAGGGGAATGTTGCTATGGTTTGTAGTTTAAGGAAAATGAATTGTTATTATATAGTCAATGGACATAATTCTATAATGTATTGATAACTATTAAAGGTCATATGGATTGTTGAACCAATGTATTTGTGCAAATCAAGAGGAAATAGATCAATTTTTGCTTTAGTTTTCTCATGGTTATAACAAATGAACCAGAGGGTATTTTTTACTTCACTTATCTGTAAAATTCAAATTAATGCATCAGGTCTAAAATTTTGTGGCAATTTTATCATAACTATAGTGTTATTGAGCAAAGATGTCACTTTAAAGATTAAGGCGCACCTAACCCAAGATATGAGGAGCTCTGGTGATGTAGTGGGTAAGGCACTTGACTGCTAACTGACAGGTCAGTGGTTCAAACCCACCAGCTTCTCTGAAGAGGAAGACTGGGTGATCTATTGCAGTAAACATTTATAGCCTCAGAAACCCAATGGGGATCACTACGAGTTGGAAAAAACTCGATGGCAATATGCATGTGAATGAGGTTGATGATTACGGATGACTGAAGAAAAATTGAGGTATTTGAATTCTGATTTTGGCAAGGAATACTGAAAATACCAGAGATTGTCAGAAAAAAATCAACAAATCTGTCTTGGAAGAAGTATAGCCAGAATGGTCCTTAAAAGAGAGAATGGCCAGACTTTGTCTTATATACTTTATTTTTTTTTTTGCAGGGGGGAAGGGCTCTTTTTTTTTTTTTCCTTTTTCTTATGATTTGGGTGAAAATTTACAGAGCAAATACACTTTCCATTCAGTAGTTCACATGCACTTTGTCTCATGACATTGACCACAATTTACCACAATGCAACAGCTACCCTCCCACTTCCTCCCCATAGTTACCTCTTCCCTGTGTCCATCCGTCCATGCATTCCTGCCCCCTGAGCTGTCTCCCTGTGCATAAGCAGCCCTTCTTTCTCCAATGCTTGTTCTCTCCAAGGAGTGTATCTACCTCAGGTAAATGTTCAACTCATTTGCCTGTCCATTGTTTGCCTGGCAGCCACAGGCGTGCGTTCAATTCCAGACCTGAAGGGCAGCTAGGGGCCATAGTCTCAGTGGTTGCACCAGGCTCCATCGGGCCAGCAAAACTGGTCCTCTCCCTTTTTTTTTTTTTCAAATGATTTTGAGTTTTGTTCCACAATGTTCTCCCTGTCTATCCAGGATCTCCTACATAGATCCTTTTCCAAGTGGTTGACAGTAGTAGCTGGGCACCATCTAGTTCTTCTGGTCTCATAGTCATATAGGCTGTAGATCAGGTGGTGTACCAGTCACTAGGACTAACAGTTTCCATGCATTTTTGGTTTTCTTCATTCTTCTTTGCTCTGGACGAGGAGAGACCCATCATTGCATCTAGATGTCAGCTTGCAAGTTTTTAAGATCCCAGTTGCTACTCATCACAGTAGGAGGTGGAACAATGTTTTGTGTAGTATGTTATGCCAATTGAGCTTGATGGGCTCTGCAACTGTGGTCCTGCGACCACAGGTTCAACTACTCAGTCCCTCTTGGTGGCTGGCTGTGACCAAGCAGTGACTACAACCTTACCCCTTGTCAGTTCCATTATATACCTGGGAATTCAGATCATACACATAAAGTTATAGGATCACTGTTTGCCAACCCTATACATGTTCTTGGGTGCACTCCCCACTTCATAGACATAGCTAATAGTTAAGCCTGTCCACCCATCTATCCACCCATATACCCATGTTTGCCTTCACTGATCTTGTCATACTATATGTGCAAAAGGGTTCATCTTTGCTGTCTGTACTTGCCACGTACTTCTCTGTGTTTTTCTCTTCCTCAATGCCACTATATTGATCACTCACATTTAGTACATTGCCTTTCTCTTCACTCAAAACTTATCTCTATCTATCTAACTGTATTCTCTACCCTCCCCTTCCACCCCTGGTAACCAAAAAAGAAAATGTCCTTCCACAGATAAGCATTTCCTTGACTTTTACAATAACGGACTAATACAGTATTTGTCCTTTTGTGATTGACTTATTTCACTCAGCATAATATACTCCAAGTTCATCCACGTTATGTGGTGTTTTGCAGATTCTACATTATTCTTTAGGGTTGCATAGTATCCCATTGTGTGTATGTACCATAATTTGGACATCCATTCCTCAGTTGATAGACACCTAGGTTGTTTCCATCTTTTGGCTATTGTAAATAGTGCCGTGATGAACATGGGTGTGCATATGTCTGTTCTTGTCATGGCTCTCACTTCTTTAGAATATATACCTAGTAATAGAATAGCTGGGTCAAATGGCATTTCTAGTTCCAATTTGTGAAGGAATCGCCATATTGCTTTGCACAATGGTTGTACCATTTTACAATCCCACCAGCAGTGTATGAGAGTCCCAATCTCTCCACA